TGCCTCATGTATATTTTGTCTTATGATTTTTGCCATAATGGGTTTCTTACTACGTAGGTCAGGTTTTTATTGACTCACGTGCCTCAAATATATTTTGTCTTATCCTATCATAGCAGATTTCTACTTACACGAGCTAAGTTTTCCTATCTTATACACTTTGAGTGTATTTTGCATTGTGCATCCCATCGTAGTGGATCTCTTTCTTGCTTTTCTAGATGGTCTTTGCACATTAATCACTTCTGCACTTTCTAAGGTGGTCTTTGTACATTAGTCACTTTTACGCTTTCAGAGGTGGTCCTCATTTATTTATCACTTTTACGTTTTCTGATGTGCCCTTTTCTCTTTGACTTATAGCATCACTATTATGTCAGAGCCCTTCTTAATCACGTATGGGAGACGATTGACTCTGTTATTCATCAGCAGTCCCTCATGATCGATAATCTCCACGATAAGGTGGAGGGGTTGAAAAGGAAAAGGGGAGAATCAGCACTTGTTGCTGAGGTAAATGCTCAAAGAGTTTAGCTGGCAAGGCAACTAGAAGAGGCCAAGCAGTATCTTGATAAAAGCTAGGTGGGTTTGACAAGGGCATACAACTTTGAGCTTGTCGAGTAAGTTGCAAAGTTTTTGGAGGAGGCAATTATTATCTTATCTTATGAGGTGTTGCAAGGTTTTTGGAGGAGGCACTTAATCTTATCTTTTACTTGCTGCATCATCAAGCTTGTCTTATTTTGGATAGAAAGATTCGTCTAACTTGGTGGTATTTTCAAGTAATAAATTTTTTTTTCTCAACTTGCAACTCCTATACCCTAAAGATATATTTTTTAAACTTGCGCCAAAGACATGGCCTAACTAAGGCTAGATGATCGAGGCATAGTCACCCCAACCTAATCTCGAGATATGCCTTAAAGATAGAACCTCTTTGAGTTTACAATGTGTCATGTCCTTAGAGGCACCATTCATTCTGTTGTCACAAGGTGAAAGGTTCCGTCTTGAATAACCTCGATGACTCGATATGAGACTTTTCAATTTGGTGCTAACTTATCGTGGGATCTAGTTAGGTCATTGACTTAAACTTTTCGAAGCACTAAGTCTTGTCTAGGGTGCTTCAATCAGTGGCTCCATCAGCTCAGGACATGGGATGTAATAAATTGGAAAATGATTACAAAGCTTGATCAAAATTTATTGACATGATCACTATTTATACAGGTTAGAGGAGAAGATTTCTTTTAATAGATCAGCAAGATTTCCTACTACAGTTAGGGAAATCTTATTTGCTATCATACCCCTACAAGATTGAGCTTCTATCAAGGACGTTGAACTTGGAATGACGTAATGAAAATAATTTACGGGCGAAAGGATTCTTGAGTGAGTCTGCTAGTTGATCAGTCATATATACGTGAGAAAAACAAAGTAGATTTATGACCCAATTGAGTTCTATAATAGAGGTGATGATGGCATGGTATTCAGCTTCAGTTGTAGATCGTACGATTGTCTTTTGCTTCTTAGAACTCCAACTGATTAGATTAGCTCCAAGGAAGATAATATACTTTAACGTGGATGTTTTATCATTAAAGTTCCCTACCCAATCAACATTGACAAAGGCATAGAGATATAGTGGGGAGTGTTTGTGAAGAAAGAGTCAATGATTTAGGATCCTTTTAAGATATCGTAAGATTCATTTGATTGTAGACGAATGTGTAGTAGATGGTTGATGCATGAATTATGATTATTTGTTGACTATAAATGAGATGTCTGGATGGGTAAAAGCTAAGTACTGCAAGGAGTCATGTACTTATCGGTATTGAGTAGAGTCTATGGTAGGACTTTCATCACATAATTTGAGTGATTCACTAGTTGAGAGGGGAGTTGTAACCTCTTTCGTATCCCACATATTCGTTTTTGATAATAAATCTTGGATATATTTTCTTTGTGATAGGAAGAGTCCTGAAGATGTATATGTTTCATCAACTCCTAGAAAGTAGTTAAGGTTCCTAGATTTTTTAGAAAGAATCGATCTGCTAATTGTTGGAGGATGAGTCGATATTAACATTACTATAGTTTGTGGGTCGGATGAGCAATTGGAGTAGAAGATGGAGTCGTCGCAAAGCAATTAAGGTTCTTTGTCGGGAGGTTGCAGGGCAAGGTGAGGAGCGATTACTATCATCGAACACCAAGAAGAGAGGTTACTATAGGCAAGAAGCTTTGATACCATGATAAATTGGAACGTGATTACAAAGCTTGATTAAACTTCATCACAACGTGATAGGTTAACACCACCACCCTTAGTCTATTTAATATCGGTCGGTCTATAATAACGTTGTATACCAAGGGGATATCCACCATCATGAATTTAGCCAATATTATTTTGGAGCATGCCTCGTCTCTGAACGTGACATGGAAGTTCACGGTCCTAAGAGATAAGATAGAGGCTAGTGAATCCCGTTAGCAAAGAAATCATAGGGGTAAGGTCATTAGTTTACAATACTAGTTTTTTGAAAGCATCAAAATAAAAGATATCGATATAGTTACTTATGTCAATCATGACCTTTTTCACCCATGTATTGATCACTCACGTAGAAACTATTAAGGCAGCATCATAATTCAGGTTAAGGTATTCTGTCTCTTTCTCCTTAAAGGTTATCTTCAGATCGTCCTCCATCCTCGAACACTTTTCAATAGTAGCTTGGCCATAAGCCTTATGACTCAAGGAGTTATCTTTCCTCTAGATGAGAGGACTTTAGCCCCATCATTAATGTATATATTATAAGTGACGAATGAGCATCTAACATACCTTGGATCTCGATCGTGATTAAGTGATGAAATCTATAAACATTCCTTCCTCCCCTTGTCTGAGTTTGAAAAGCATTATCATCGATGTCCTCGAGCGAAAGTTCCCAAGAAAGTGAAGCTTAAACTCTCTCATGAGCTAGGTAAAAGAAATGATAAAAAGCGACTTCAAAATGGCACATCATTCTTATGCTGGGCCTCTTAGTATGGTTGAGAAGGTGCGATACATCAGTACATTCGAAGTGTCATACAATGATATTTGGGCATAAAAAGCTACATAAAAAGTTCACTAAAATTAATTTTTTTTAGGCTTTTAGGATAAATGACGATCAATCCAAGATGGGATTGACCAATGAACTTTATCCGTGACACTCTCCTCAATCAGCATTTTGTCGATGGCTACTTGCACATGGCTTTAATACCTCCAATCTCAAATATCTATCATGCTAGCGTGTAAAGATGACTGTCGATATCACTGGATGTCATTGTTGGAAGCATCATTCCTCATGAAAACTACGTCACGAAGGATTAATGTGATCCCTCCTCCGCCTCCTCCTCTGAAATTAGATTTAGAGTGTAATCTATCTTTCGTTAATCTTTTATGTTTTTTTGAAAATTTTTTAACCATATAGCTTATGTTTATATTTCACCTCTATTTTGTTGTTTACTTAAATTCAAGTTAACATTTCATAGATCCATCTAATATATCATTTTATCATGATCCAATTATAATTAATACATCAAGTTGATGAATTTGGATCATACTAACTTAAAATAATTTAATATAGCAAAACCCAGTGCGACCCAATTCAATTCTTCTCTCTTACACGTAGTGCATAGAACTGCCTTGCTAACACGGCACATCTCATGTTGAGATCAAAGTTTCTAAATTGAAAGGGATTGGATATTGTGCATTCTATAGCAAAAATCAACCTAGTAGCAACCTTACGAAGGATCCATAAATAAAAGTTGATTTAGATTTTAAAAAATGAGTGATGAACAAGTTTGCTACTTGGTGTGCAAATAAAAGATGATAATTTACAAATGAAATACTACGTTTCATAAAAGATGATAAATACTTGGTGTGCAAATAAAGGAATGAGATGTAAGAACTTTAGAGGACAAGAACAATTTCAAATCCTGCTTAACAAGTATAAAAAAAGTCAACACACACTTTATGAAAATTTGTTTATCCAAAGCTCCTTTCCTACTACGGTGAAATTTGAAGTGATTGATATTTCGCATCACACTTTGAGATAATACAATAGTTACATAAATCAAATAAAAAAACAAAAAAAAAATATTGATAAAAAGTATATAAATAAATATAAGCGATGACCGATCCGATCCGTTAATAAAGATATTACGGGCGCACGAGGCCGGACCGTCGCCCTTTGTGCGTTCCCGAGAGCTGATGGGGGCATTAATAGGAGAGATGCCATTTGCTGGTCTGGTCCTTTTCTTTGGCGGATCTTAACACATACCGTCTTCCACAGGGTGGAAAGTTGCAGAGACGTATGACATCGGAGACTCGTGACCTATATTTGATTTGTTTTCCTTGGACTGCAGGGCATTTCATCCATCTGAATGATCACGGAGTAATGAAGGCAGCATTTGTCCTATCGTTTCGTCATTCGCTACAGTTCTGATCATTTATTTTTGGCCTCTGTTGATGATTAGTATTCAGATGGTTCCACGGCAGTGCGTGCACTATCCATCCTACTTCCCAAAGGAAAACCTATTCCTACGCATCCAGAGACTGCTTCTTGTGCATGTAATGAGCTCAATACAGCTCCTCCAAGTGGTATTATTATGTGCATGCCCACGTACAAAGGGCAGAGCTGAAACCTCGCGTGTTAATTGGGATGACAAATGAAGAAGCATGAGGAAACTGTTTCTTCTTCTTTCTTTGTCGTCCTTCAAATTAATTGGAGGCTTCTTCCAGCCACCGCTAGTTCTTCCCTTCCACGTCTCATTGAGAGCTTAGTGCAACTAACTGGTATTGACCGAGTGATTGGAATGAGACTGAAGCAAGAACAGAACGGAGTTGGGAGTCGCTGCCATAGCACGAGGAGCAGTAAAGAGCTAAAAGGGTGCCGACGCACGAATGATCTCAGATAAAAAGGGGCTGCTACAGCACGAGAGAGAGAGAGAGAGAGAGAAATAAATGTGAAACTTGCTATATATACCACTCGAAGAACACCCTTAAAGCTGCAACTTTACGGGGACAATCTTTGTCTTGGATCTCTTAAACCTGCTGTTTGGTTTCTCTTCCGAAGATGGAAGTTGTGCGCTTCGTATTTGGCATCTTCGGTGGGTGGAATCTCATCCCTGTGCTCGTTCTCCTTTGTATTTTGTTTGTGTATCCGTGTCATCTCTTTGTGATTTCTGAGCAGGTAACGCCACTGCTCTCTTCCTCTTCCTGTCTCCACTGTGAGTCCTTCCTCCCGTGGCTTCTATGTCTCTCTCTCCCCTCTCTCTCTCTCTCTCTCTCTCTCTCTCTCTCTCTCTCATCTTTTTCTCTTTTGATGGTAAATTCTATGACGAAAGCCTTGTCCTGTTGATTCTGCTATATCAGCGTCACGTTTCAGCGGATCATCCGGAAGAGATCGACCGAGGATTTCTCAGGCGTTCCCTACACCATGACCCTTCTCAACTGCCTCCTCTCCGCTTGGTACGCACGCACGCATGCATTATCCGTGTCACCACAATCAAATCATACAGAGCATGCAAACATACTTACATGTTACCGGTGAAGGTACGGTTTGCCGTTTGTGTCGCCGAACAACCTCCTGGTGTCGACGATCAACGGCGCCGGCTCAGTCATAGAGGCGGTGTACGTGTTGATCTTCCTCGTATTTGCGCCGAAGAAGGAGAGGGCTCGCGTGGCGGCATTGTTCACGTTCGTGCTCTCCGTCTTCGCCGTCATTGCCCTCGTCTCCCTGCTTGCTCTCCGAGGCCAGCGCCGTAAGATCTTCTGCGGCTTCGCCGCTGCTATCTTCTCCATATGCATGTACGCCTCGCCTCTTTCCATCATGGTAAGAAGCCTGGATCATCTGCCACTGCTCGGGTTACACGAAGTTCCCGTACGTGATGGTTCCATTTGGGCATCTCAATCTAATTTACGTGCAGAGATTGGTGATCAAGACCAAAAGCGTGGAGTACATGCCGTTTCTGCTGTCCTTGTTCGTGTTCTTGTGCGGGACATCATGGTTCGTCTATGGCTTACTGGGTGGGGATCCATTCGTCACGGTACTTTTCCCGTTCATATCCTCCAAACATGACTTCTTATTCCTCACGTGGTCAACCTTTTGGGCATTTTGTAATTTTATTAGAAAAGTTGGGGCATCGGTGGAAATTTAGAACCGTCAGACCCTCGGTTCGGTCAACCTTCTTCTCAGACGAATGTTATCCTTTCGAGAAGTACTTAGTCTATACCATTTTCTTTCACCTGTTTGGTTTACCTGCCATTTTATTGCATGAATCGGTGAGGTTCTGTGATTTGTCGCCAATAATGGAGCTGGTAAGAGAGTGGGTAGAAATTAAATATATTGGTCGTGGATTCCTTCGAGGAGTGGGTGCACGAAGCGGCCCGGGAAGGTGGCGGCGGTGGAAACTGGAAGGTTGGCCGGGGCTATCCCTACTGCTCAGATCAAACGCAGCTAACACAAAGAAATGGATTGCAGTGAATCTTGCTTGTCATCCACAGCACAGTTACTACTTTTTAGGTCCGCCTATCAAGTAAGAGAATGATACTTCATGGAACGTTGATGAGGATGATGGATTGTGCAGGTGCCGAATGGGTGTGGGAGCGCGCTGGGAGCCATCCAGCTGATCCTGTATGCAATCTACAGGAATCACACCACCACCGACGGGGGCTCGGAGATGAACGGCCAGGGACACAAGCGGCTGGAGGATGACTCTCGAGCAACGGAGAAGAAGCCTGATCACCAACCGATAGCAGACAAGGTGTAGAGTGCAGAAGCAGTGGACTAGGCAAGAGCTGACAGCATTGCAGTCTCTGCGAGCTCTCCTTGTGCCTTCTATCTGCTGCCACGGTTCTTATCTTCTTACCTTCGTTGCCACCTGCAGCAGTTGTTCCAGGATGCCAAGTTGAGACGGAACCGACGGTGTTTTAGCTTCCTTGCGAGTTCAGATTTGGCCTGTAACTGTTACAATGTGAATCTTACACTTGTTTGTGAATCTTGCGTGAGTAATAAGCAATGGTGATATAAATCTGATGTGAGTTGCTTTAAGATCCGCATCGGGACATATCAACGATACGATCTCCATCCCTTTGTGTTGTGATATGTTAAGGATGTATGGACGGGTAATCGAAGTTCTTGTTCGGCTTTGTATCCGATTTAAGTGCTATCTTAACTCATCTCAATCTAATTAAAATATACTCGAGACATGAAATTAGGGAATTCTGAACTCAGATCCTATTAACCAAGCAAAATATTAACTCGAATTTGAGTCCAATATCTATTTGCCCTCAATAGCAGCACCAGCTTTAGTCTTTTGTGTCGTCACTATTTGCCAAAGCACAGGCAGAGAGTCCGCTACTTTTACCCGCCGGCGATGCCTGAAGATGAACAACGCGCGGCGGCTCTGCAGACCGCAGGCCGCCATGTGCCGTCGCAAGGCCCTGCGACGCAGATCCCGCCTGGCCAGTCGCCGCTGCCCCTCGTCGGCAGCTTGCACCACCTCCTCAGCGCCTTCCCTCCAAGGCAAGCTTGGCGACCTCGTGCGCGTCGACGGCCCGCTGATGCTTCTGCGCCTCGGTGTGGTCGATCTAGTCGTGGTGTCCTCCCGCGAGGGGGCGCTGAGGAGGTCATGCGCTGACGTCAACTTCGTCTCCCGCCCTGAGCTGGCCGTGCCCAAGATCGTCTGATACCGGCCAGGGCGTTCATCTTCGCACCTCCTTGTCCGGCGAACTCCTTGAGGTGCTCCACCGCCATGCGACATGCTCCGGTATTTGACGTCGCGCCGTCGCCAATGCCGCCGAATTGCACTATGGACGAAACCACCCTCCTCGGCAGGCCGGGGCGGTAGAAACTCAACGCAGCTTTTTGTCCCCTTCGCGGTAAAATTAAGAACATTAATAAAATATTTTTAAGCGTACATATTTTATTTTATCAATCATGATTCAATTTATAAAATGTAAATATAATTATCGTCCATGATTAAGTTTATAAGAACTAACTTGATAATAATTTCTTTGATCATGTGCATTAGGATAGAAATACTTACAATATAATTAGAATTATATAAAATATGTTAGACTATGTTACTATCAATTAATTCTTAACACTATTCTTTCACTAAAAGTTATATATAATAATTTGAGATATAAAATAAATATGTTTTTAAAATTAAAGAACTTGATGAGAATATTTATCGTTTCTTCATCTGTGTTATAATATTTTATTATTATAACTCTACTTATATAAGATGTCGGATGAAATGATAGTATATCTCCATATGTTTGGAAGGTTAGCTTCTTTGTTATTGTAATTATGATTTTTTGTCATAAATTATTTCAGTTATTTTTTTATTCTTAATGAAGATATATGAAAAGTCTTTCAAATCATATTGTTTGGTAAACTAGTTACAATTACATGCTCATGGTGTTGACAATATAGTTTGAAAATATTATTTGAAGTATTCTTTCTATCAACCAAGTAAAAGCTCTTGCCTGTTAGTGAAATTAAATAATTTATATTTAAAATCATGAGAATACTAAATGTCATAAGTAGTTCTAACAATATAATATATAATTCTTTTAACAAATATGATGTTTACTAAAATTATGTATAAACCTAGATACTATATCAATAGAAAATATAATATATGGTTGAGTTTGAGTTATATTAACCAAACCTCCAACCAAGCTTTTATAGTATTTTACATTTGTTAAATATATATCTTTAAATTTTAATTACACATTTACATTCCTAGGTGTTGCGCTTTATAATTAATCATATTAAAATTTTTAAATATATCTATTATATATTTTCTTTATGAAATAAAATTTTCATTTGATATTTGTTTCGTCACCGACCTAAGAAAAGAGTATAGTAGATTGAGATCTAATATTTTAAATTTATTTATCTTATATTTTTTAAATTCTATCGTAAGAGAGACGAGCATATATATATATATATATATATAATCATCAATATAAAAGAAAACCATAAAACAATTATATTTACCTTTCTTTTTTAGATAAAAAAAGTAAATTTATTATTGCTCCTCTTAAATCTATTTTGATGAAAATAAAAATTAGTTTTATTGTATTATAACCTTGGAGCATGTTTAAGCATATAAAGAATTTTCTTTAGCTTATACACTTTTTCTTTGTCTTTTACCTTCAATAAGTGAGCAATTAAAGCCAAGAATATCTTTTATTTAAAAATATATATTTTTATATCAAATTGATAAATAAGTTAACTTAAGTGAGTAACTAAAATCAAAAAAGTTCTTATGGTTTTAAATCTATCAATTAAAGAAAAAGTATCATCAAAATTAATATATTATTGTTGTGAATATTATTTTGCTACAAGCCTCTCATATTTCATTCTTCTTAATTGACTTAGATTTTTATTTTTATTATTTTTTAGTAAAATCTAAAATAAATAAAATAAATATTGAATCATAAAATTATGTTAGTAATATGAATTTTTTTTGAGGGGTTTCATCTGAGAATCAAATGATAAATTTGAAATGCTATGAGGCAACTTGCTAAAGCTATATCTATTACTTGATTTTGTTAAGTGTATAATTTTATTAGAATATAAATTTATTTTTTACTAGTTTTCTAATTTCAACTTTCTCTTCCATCAAATATAGCATATAATAAGTTTACTAATAATAGGATTATATAATTAATATACTTTGGATTATAAAAAATAACTAATTAAAATATATTTTTTAGATGTTTTATCAAGCTTATGATGGTTTTGTAAATTTAACAAAGCATAAGTAATACAATAAAAAAATTTAAATGACTATACTATATGATTCATAACAACTTTTGTTGATAAAATATTCAACAAATAAACTACTATTACAATTGTTTGTATCTAAAACTAACTTAGAAAATACTTTTTCTTAAACAAATTCTTATCATTTCAACAATAGTATGATTTTTCTGTTCAGCTATACTATTTTACTTTAAGGTATATTATGCTATCAATTCCCTAATAATATTATCTTCATCAAAAAAATTGAACTCATTATATAAGAATTCATAACCTTTGTTTATTTGAAGTGTCCTTATGTATATGCTATTTTATCATTTCAAAAGTACCTTAAATTTTAAAAAATTATCAAATATTTTATATTTTAATTTTAAAAAATATCTAATTTATGAGTTTATAATCATCAATAAATAATAAAAAAATATTAATTTTTACTAAATAATTTTAAATTTATAGATCCACATAGATCAACATAAGTTAATTCTAGACAAGTAGATGCTATTTATGTTTTTTCAATAGGAAATAGTTTTTTTTATCTTATTTGTCATAAATACATCTTTTACATATATCAAGTGTATTAATTTTAGATAATTTAATTTAATTTTTTTTTGCTTAACAATCTTAAACCTGTAATATTAAGATGTTCATATCTTAAAAATCATAAATTAGATTTATTCATTTAAGTTGCACTAACAGTATACTTTTAAATATTTGAAACATTAGATGAAAATATCTTGTTTTGAGTTATGCAAATATTTACTATAATCAAATTAGATTTCTTATTACATGAACCATCCTCAAATATAACTAAATACTCATTATTCATCAATTGTCTAACACTCAATAAATTATGTTATATTTTTTATAAGAATAAAAAAAATATTATTAAGATGTTTTACCTTCTCTCAACTTGTCTTCATCTCAATTATTTTATTCTCTTCTACTTAGATTTGATTGTTATAATTTTTAAGTTTCATTAAGATCTCTAAACATTGATCTTATGTCTGATATATAATTAAAATATTTATTATTTAAAAATTAAATATCATCTGAGATTTATTAACTTATGAATGAATTATAAATAATTTACTAGTTTCTTTATTTTCCTTCACATAGTTTATTTGTTTTTCTCTTTTCTAACAACTTCATGTGATCAAACTGTTTACAATAATTTTTTGGCAATATGACTTTATGTGATCAAATTGTTTATAAAAGTGGCATTAGATTTCAATCTTATATATTTTTTATCATAATTTGATTACTTTTATTTATCATGCTAATTAATATGTCATATTTCTCTTTTTCTTCTATTCTATTTGTTTGTTTATTTTTATATTCTCTTTGCTAATCTTGTTTATTTTTCTATTTCTTCTTTTGAAGTCGAAGACGCCCTCTTAACTTAGAATTTTTTTTTACTTTTCTGAAGTTATATTTTTAACCTTATTTTATGTGCTTATAAGAAACCCATTAGTTTATCAAATATAAAAAAATAGATAAATCTTTTAACTTCTCAATTACAATGATAAAATGATCAAATTTCGAAGTTAAATTTTTTAAAACTTTTGTAATAATAATATGATTATGAAGATGTTCATCATAAAATTTTATTTGACTAATTAGTTCAGTCACTTAAGAAAGAAATTCTTGCACTGATTAATTAATTTTCATAAATAAAATTTTAAATTCATAATGAAGAGTTTAAAATTTTATCGTAATTATTTTGGATGAGAATTGAAATTTATTTTGAAGTATTAACCAAACTTGTTTTAACATTATAATTGTTCTAATTCTTGAGATAGTCTGTCACATGTACAATTTACTGAATGAAGAATAATATTTTTGAGTCATTCTTTTTATTTTCCCTCAACCTAATTTCTTGTCTATATATCTATTCTCTATCAAATCATGAAAATCCTAAGATTTAAATAAGTTTTCATCTTAATATTTTAAAATTTATATCATTTACTCGAGAAGATGAGAATAATGGATTAAAATAATTCGAAGCCATAATACTTAATTCAGATTGAACTTGACTCTCATACCATAAATATTGAGGACGAAAAAATAAAAAAATAATAAAAATAAAATATAAATTAAAAAATATTTTGAATCAATAAAATTAAAATAATATTAATTAAGTGGTAAAATTAAGAACACTTATAATATATTCCAATAGATACACTTTACTTCATAAACCATGATCATATTTATAGAGCATAATGATAATTACCTCATATCTCATATCATTTATGATTAAGTATAATAACTAACTTCTCATATCGTAAACCACCTAGATAAATTACTCAAAATATAATTAAAAATATTTAAAATATGATGACTATCTAGGATAATTATCTATAGATCAATTGTTAATTATTCCTACGACATGGTCATCGATATATGATTGCACCAGTGGTGATCGCTGCCCGATCGACGGCCCGTGAAGGTCTTGTCGGGTCCACCAATGGCTACTTGCTCAGAAGGCATGATGGTGATCTCTTAGGAAAGTCTTCGTCCCATATGTCTAAGATCCTTATGCCAACCCAATAAGTACCTAAGAGCAACTTCAACCCTTCTCTCTCTCTCTCTCTATCTCTCTCTCTCTCGGGGACAAAAACTTCGGTTTAGATTTCCTCGGTTAGAAGAACTTAGGCAGATTAATCTATTGGTCTTTGCTTTGTGTTTATCAATGGCTTAATTAATGACGGTGAGATGGACTGTAGTTATCTTAATACATACATACATACATCATATAATATATTGGGTGGCAATCGGAGGGGGGATTTGGGGAAGGCGTGATCCGTTACGTTCGGTGGATGAATCGGGCAGCATTGGGAGTCACGGTTTAAGCTTGCGGAGACTTGTTCGCCTCCTTCCTTCGATTAAGATCTTGGATTCTGGACCGTTTGATTTGTCAGCTGGAGATGTGGACGGTCGTTAAGACCGTCTTGTTTGCTTGAATTTTCGTGTGCCGGACTTGCACGCAACTCTCAGCCTATGTGACGTTGGTCCACAAAATTGCAGACGCCGCTGTTTCCGTTGACTGAAGGTTCAAAAATAATAATAATCGAGTGCCGTGGTCTCTCAGGCGCCTGACACGTGGGATCAATATGCGGGTCCCCAGGTGGATATTTTTAGGGTCCAGAAGTTTGGAATGCCATTTGGGTCCGGCGAAGAGAGGTTGAAACGTCAAATAAGATGGGTGCAATGGCGGAACGGAGACCACACATATATGAATACACAACTTGACGGGCCAACTAATTTGTTGGGAAGAAAGTAATAAATAATTGAATTCAAGAAATTATCCAAAAATCAATCAACTCACGGCACATATCTCAAAGTGCGACGGGGACGATCCCGATCGGAGACGGAAGCAGTAGGGGATGCAGGCAATTCGAAACACGAGGTCTGATCCGGATCCGAACTAGTCTTGTTGTGATGGCGCGTGGACTCGGTCTCGACGGACGAAAGGTCCAGGTAAGATCGCAGGTGGACAGCTTCATCCCCCCGGTTCGATGGACGGAAATCCCTTTACTAAAATGCCCTTAATTCTGTGACTTAACTACTGAAATGCCGCTTCAGGCTTACCTGCTAGTCAAATTAGCTTACGTCAACAAATCAATCATAATTGTCTCCTTAATCATATTCTTTATCATGTTTATCTAACTCTTGTGTGTATCATTAATTTTTTTCATAATACAATGAGCTACAAAAGGTTTATAATTATTATAAGTGGTTATACGTGTTGTTTTGTAAATATTAACAACGTTAAGTCCGTTTTATAGACCACAAAGTCTTCTTCCGCGACCTCTTTATCCTCTTTCCTTCTTCCCCAATTCCTCCTCTTCGTCCAATCCCCCAAATTGACCTCCTTTTCTTCTTCTTCACCTGAATTCCAATTCGATTCGAGGGGGCGAATCCGTAGCGGCAGCATCAATGGATTGCGAGCCGGAGGAGCTCCAGTTCCTGGGCGTCGTCGGCATCTACCGGGAGGCGGCCAAGATCCTGGCGAGGTGGCGCCGCCTCTTCGTCAAGATCGCCGGCGCCCTCGTCCTCCCTCTTTCCATCCTCTTCTTCGTCCACATCGCTATTTCCCACCGCCTCTTCTCCACCATCGACTCCGACGAGTCCGCCCTCGATGACGCCCCCCCGGGATCCACCTCCGAGTCCTCCGCCCTCCAGCGGCTCGTCTCCGACTGGTCCGCCTTCCTCCTTTTTAAGGGTTTCTACCTCGTCGCCCTCCTCGTCCTCGCCCTCCTCTCCACCGCCGCTGTCGTCTACTCCGTCGCCTCCATCTACACCGCCCGGGGCGATCTCGCCTTCCGCAAGGTGCTCACCGTCGTCCCCCGCGTCTGGCGCCGCCTGATGGTCACCTTCCTCTGGGCCTTCCTCGTCCTCCTCGCCCTCAACTCCGCCACCATCGCGCTCCTCGTCTTCATCCTCCTCATGGGTGGCAACTCCTCCACGGGCCCCGTCCTCACCATCTTAGTCGTCATCCCGCTCTACCTAGTTGCCCTCGTCTACGTCAGCGTCGTCTGGCACCTGGCCAGCGTGGTCTCCGTGCTGGAAGACGCCCGCGGGCTGGAGGCGATGCGGCGGAGTCGACGGCTGATCCAAGGCAAGCTCTTGACGGCGTCGGTCATCTTCGTGATGCTCAACCTCGGCTTCGGGCTCGTGGAGTGGGCCTTCCGGGGGCTGTTAGTGAGGGGGAGGGGCGGGGGCCCGGGGCTTAGCCTGGGGCTGGGGCTGCTTCTGCTGCTGCTGTTGTGCCTGGTCATCCTCTTCGCTCTGGCGGTGCAGACGGTCGTCTACTTCGTGTGCAAGTCGTACCACCACGAGAGCATCGACAAGTCGAACCTGGCGGACCATTTGGAGGCCTACTTGGGGGAGTACGTGCCATTGAAGTCCCAGGACGTGCAGATGGAGCAGCTCCGTGTTTGATGCAGAGCTCCGGGGAACGTCTCTCCCTTCCTCTTATCTCTCTCCCTCATGTTACAGCTTCACAGCGCATTCACAGTAGCAAACAGAATTGCATTACTCACATTTATATTTTGTGCTTTGACGTTCCATAATCGTGTGATGAAAGGTCTTTAAATATTTTTTGCTATTATTCTGCAATGTGGATTAAACCTTGTGCAATAATGCGGATTCCATGTCTTCATTGCCCGTGAAATAATGGGTGGCCGGGCCAAGATTTGGTGCCCATAAACCTGTAAATGGACCGGACCGGACCGGCTCGGCCCCATATAAGAAAAAAGATGCTATATATATCACATGGGAAGCACGTGCAAGTATATGAACTGATGGATTTTTTGTTTCTTTAGGGTAGTTCTTTTAATTAATGGAGAATTGGTTGTGAAGAAACGAATAATAGTCGGAAGTAACAATCAATTTTAATTAGAAAATTTTCTTAAAGTGTAATTTCTTAGATAAGCACGAATTTTCGAGAAATAAAATTACCATTCCCAGAGTAGGATGAGACACTGAGACAGAGTAGACATTTTATAAATACCCCCGAATTCACCCGGCACGAGGTGGTGTTTTGTGGTGGGACCGACCGTCCGCCCGCTTCCTCTCTCTCTCTCCCCCCAAATTCAAATTCCCCTACTTGACGAGTTAGTAGGGTTGTTGGCTTAGCACGATCCGATCTTTTCCCTTGCGTCCGTCGTCTTACCCTTATGATTGTCTTCAAATTTCGTTGTGCGATCTGTTGCGGTGTTCATATGTGGATTGGGAGCTGAGGAACTCGTCCGAAACCCTACTTTCGACGAAGGAAAATATTAGGGTTCGGTGGTGGCTGTTGAGAACAAGAACTGTAATGGGTTTTTGAAGCCGCAAGAATCTCCTTGCCAAGGTTTGATCACTTACAGGAGGCGGAAGCGTGCAAGGTCCGGGCCGGATGCGGCTAAGGTGAGGTGGCTTTTGTTCATTCTTTCGCTTCTTCAACATAAAGATCACCACATCGTTTTCCTGCGTATTTTTAGTAATTCCATGAAACATAATCACAGGGTGGGCCTTTGATTTCTTTGCTCCCGTATCAATTTGTTCTGATGCATTGGAAGACACGACATGTCAATGCGATGCTCTAATTTCCGTTGTTTATATATTTGTCATTGTATTTGTTTTCACTGTTTTGATTTTATTTTCGATGTGATCGGAGGTACCACCCGGCGCTAACGGTCAGCAGCCACAACAGTGCAAACGTGAAGCCTCAGGGATGACATGGTGCACTCAACATGATACCTCGGACTCGGATGGGGCGACTATCTGCTCCCACATTGTCCGAGACCGTACAAGACGATACCGTATAGTACAAAAGGTATGAATCAACCATTCGAGGAGTCGGTGGCCATTAACAGACCATGTATGCATGTATAAAAACCAACCTCCTGACTAGCGTTAAGGGTTGAATTTCGAACACTCAAACTCTCCGTAACACCACCTAACATTGACTCAAGGGTTGAGTCAAAAAATTCCCCTCTTGACTTCGGTTTCTGTGCAGGAACTCGACGAGGAAAGAGCGATAACCCGACGAGGGAGGAAGAACAATTTCTTGCTCTACCTTGGATTGATTCTAGAGGCAAAGCCTAGACCCAACCTAACGTCGACCACCCTCGTTCGAGCAGTCACATGGGTTCACACTCGGGATCGAACTAAGCCATGCTGATCCATCAGCTATGACATAAAGTTACTCAACACGATGCTTTGCAATAATACATTAATATAAAGGTGAAATAGCATGGGTGATTTTAATCATGATAGGATGAAGAGATCTATTCAAGAAGTGGAAACCTACGAGTCATTCATAAAAAGGCATAGCATTTTAGTTCTTACTCTAAACATTGAAGGATGATGTAATCACGCGTGACCTACAGGCTAAAGGGGCTGACTAATGTTCATTAGGGTTCATTGGTGAACTTTCATTCTATAGTAATTCATCTGTCTCTATATTTCATTGTAAAAATAGCACAAGAGAAAATATGCTATTAGCATGCATGCTTTATCTTAGCTTTTGCTGATTAAGTGATCTGTTAACAGTGTACATGGATATGTAGATCTTGGACGTACCTTCTTGTAGAAATAGGGATATTGAGTGGAACCATGGGGAGATAGTTGACGGTAAAATGCAGAGACATCTATTGTGAACAAATTTTGTAACTTATACATCCTGGAGCTGATTACAATATTTTGAATCAGCTTTAGTGAAAAATCAATATCAAAAGCCAAGTTGTTTTTAGACAGCTAATGAACAAAGTTTGGTGGAATCAAAGCTGCCTCTTCTCCATCTATAGCCACTGTGAAGAAGATACCAACACTATTAAGTGTGAAAGAGCTTTCGTTGACGTTTTGATTTCAGAAAAGTTTGCATTATTGTGTGATTTTTTTAAAATGTTTGAAGAGATAAAGAATTTTTTTATTTTTTATTTACTCTAGCCTTATTGACTCGAAACTGAAAAGTGGAGATTATGAACAGTCACCAGAATTTTTTAACCAAGATGTTCGACTGGTAATAATGCTTACATATTTGTATTTCTGCATCCACTTTACTTTCATAGACATTGTAGTTAGCCATGTTGATTTTTCACTTGTTTTTGGTTTGCATCAGCATTTGTAATCACTTCCTCACTTGCTTAGGCATCCTGATTTCCGAAGTCTGCTGTTAGTTTCAATTTGTTGAAGCTCTATTTATTCTCATATCATTCAAGCTCAGGCATCCTGATACCATGTCATGTTTCTCTACATCTAGTGTCTTCTCTACATATTTGGATTTCTGGATCTATCTTGGATCTATCTTGCTTTTATAGACCTTGTAGTTAACCATGTCGATTTTACATTTTGGTTTTGTATCAGCTTTTGTAATCACACCGTCACATGCTTACAGCATCCTGATTGTCAAAATGTTCAATCTTTTCGGCTATTTGCATCAGTATTATGTTTCTCTGCATCTAGAAGTGTCTTCTCTCTTCTGAGAGGGTTTGATCTGTCACTCAATCTCCACGAGTACCAGAATGTGTCATGGCATTTAAAATAATGCAAAACAGTAGTATTGTAAGAGATGTATATCATGTGTCTAGGAAAATTCATGTCTGTGATTACAATGCATGCTAGTTCCTGTGCCTCTGGATGGCAAGCACCGATTCACACTTACAACTAATAACTTTGGAAAACTTAGCCCATTCACATTGGATTACAACCATTCACACTACATGGGATTTTGCGTGTCAACCTGTAAATGCGAGAGGCTTATTACCGGATTTAACTTAAAAACATATAAAAACTTAATAAGAAGGGCGAGAATAAAAAATCAGTTTACAATATAAACAAAAAATATAAAGTAAATGAAAATTAGATTTTATAGTGGTTCAGTCGTCCTGACTTATGTCTACTCCCGATTCCTTTTCATTCGAGATCATCAACTTTTATTACCGATCTTTTTTTCAATGGGTAAAAATCAACTATCCTTATAACTCTTTCTCCTTTTCATAGGCTCAGGATAGGATAGAAGAAAGATTTACTAACTAACTTTAGAGAGATTATAACACTTTTTTCTCAAGTATATTTTCCTTATTTCTACTCAATTTTGTGTTCTTCCAAGCAGAAATAACTAGTGTATTTATAGACTCCAAATGACTTCAAAAATAGAGTCAAAAAGGTTTCATCCTAGGTTTCTTGGATCCTAGCAGTATCACTGCCTGCAACATTGACACTGGGCGGTACCACCGCCCAGACTAGCGGTACCATCTCTTGGCACAGTCTGAGAGACTATGTCTAAGCGGTACCATCGCTTGACAACTTGAAAAATTATTTTTTTGACTTTTCCAACTCATAAGTGGTTTCACCTAACCTTGGGTGACCGAATGAACCTTTCACTTGGCTCAAAACAGTCCCAACTTAGGCCCAATGGGCTCCTAATTGAGTTAGCATGATAACACCAAAAACTAACTCAATTACGACCTAATTACGACCAATTAAGACAACCGATTATTGTTGAATCTCGGATTTTGATGATGAAGTCAATTGTAATTTGTTTGATCTAATCTATATGTTGAGAAAAGTGTGTAGGATTAACTACGATGACAATAAGACATAAAGCAGGTATTGTGCCGGGGTCAAGATCAAGATCTCATTGAGAGTTCGAGAGTTCGACGGAAGTCCGGACGTTCTGTCATGGACAAACTTCTAAACAGGATGTTTGATGTAATGCTTATGTCTGTCCGTGTCTTTTAGTATATTCATGCTCTACACAGTATGTAGAGGGACGGTCGAAGGCTTAATAATCTCATTTTAGTTAGGTTGGTGGCCGCTTTAGGCTTGTAAATAAAGGTTGTATCATGTGGACACGTGTGAGAGATTTTTGGTCTGTAATGGACCATTTTGACCCTTTATTGTGCAACTGTTCAGAGCTTGTAAAGTCTGTTTGTAATTTGCATTGTCTATGAAGTGTTTTTGGAAATGTTTGCTTGTGGATCCCGAGTGAGACGTTTTCTCTAACCCGTTTTCTCTTTTGTGGGTCCTAAGGAACCATGGGAGGCTTCGAGGAGGCTGACCTTTGTGGATGGACACGTAAGGGTGCCGTGCGACTTAGGCAAAACCAGCTAAGTTCGTGACAGTTCGTCGGAAGTTCTACGGGAACCAACCGAGAAGTCTAGGAGCTTGCCATAGAATCTCGTCGGAACTCACCAAGAAAATCATCGCAAAGTCCAGGAGCTTGTCGGGAGTCCGCCAGAGCATTGCCGAGAGTTCGACGGATGTTCGCCGGAAGTACGTCGGAAGAGCAATTGACGCATCGGAACAAGAAATGTAGTAAACATGTCTTAATTATCGTAGTTAGAGCATAAATTAAGTTAGGATTGGGAGGTAATTCCACTAACTTAATTAAGGGCCAATTTGGCCCTTAATAGGGCTGAATTAGGTTGAATTGAGCACCCAATTCAGCCCCTGAATTCTTGGCCGGCGATGGCACTGCTTGGAAAGTAGTGCCCTAGAAAATTTAGGCGGTGGTACCACTGGCAGTTATTGCTACCAGCGGTGGTACTGCCCCTATCAAGTGGTGGTACCTTGAGCGGTAGTACCGCCTAGTGTCAGGTGTCAGGTGGTGGTACCGCCCAGTAATGACGGTGGTACCGTTAGGACCCCGGAAATCCGGGATTAGACACTTTTGGCTCAATTTTTGAAGTCATCGGGGCCTATAAAAACCCCACCCTTTTTTGCATGAAAGGGCACGAAAGTATTGGTTTAATCTTGTATTCTTGAGTCTTAAAGTATTGTAAAAGTTAAAGTTCTCTTCCTTCATCTCTTAGTCTTGTAACCATCCAAGAAAGAGGAGTGAGACTTGTAAGGGTTCATTCCTAAACCCGGGAAAAGGAGAAAGTGATGTAAAGAGGTGTTCGGTCTTCACTTATTGAAGAAAGACCTTTAGTGGATGTCGGTGACCTCGTCGGAGGAGGAATTCGAAAATAGATGTAGGTCATATTGACTGAACCACTCTAAAATTCGGTTTGCATTTACTTTAAGCAATTTACTTTTATAGCAAACTGCCTCTCCTTACTGTGCTTTTACTATGCCTACATACGCTTTTAAGTAAACACCTTCCGAGATCGGCTTTAATTTTACGAAAGCTTTCAAGTTTAAATTCTCTTTGAAACGGATTGAATCGAAACCATTTTCGTCGGAATCAATTTTAATCAAAACAAGTCTTTTGAAATCGTGAAAGTTTTTCACTACACTAATTCACCCCCCTCTTAGTGCTGCTCTTGATCCTCACAATTACAAGACTATAATTCTATATTATTCGACATGTCATTGGTTCATCCGACGCTTCGTCTAATCCTTCAGTGCATCATCCTCTCCTTCGACGTATTGCCTAATCGGCATGTTGACCTTCTATAACTTTTGATCTTCTTGGCGAAATGTCTAATTCTTCAGCCCGATGCTCGAACTCATGGCATGAAGTCATTCTACTGACATGTTGTTCGATCATTCGGCTTGACGTCCAATCTCTTGACATGTTCTACTTCGACTTAACTTTCGATTCTTCCTGTTTTAATCGAATTATCTTTCCTTAATCGAGGTTAGTCTATATTAGATCTTAACTTTATCAATTGATTTTATCATTAAAATCCGAGATTTAACAATCTCTCTGTCTTTTTTTAATGACAACTAATTGATGATAGAGTTTAAACTAAACTTTTCCTATCAATATGACATATTGAAATAAAGTATCATTCAAATAAATGATAACCTTCAAATCCAAGTTGAAACGATTTTAATCATGAATCATATCATATGCAATACATCATATGCATCATCATAATAAAATTATGAGTATTGCATACATAATCATAATTTCAAAAACATCAAAGTGCATCATGTTAGGATCAAGAGCACTAAGAGGGGGGGGGGGTTGAATTAGTGCAGCGGAAATCTTTCACTATTAAAATCGAAAGCTGCGTTCGTTTGATAAAAACGATTTCGATGTAAAAGCGGATTCTAAGATTACTTTAACTTAAGATTAAGCGAGATGACGTTAAAGTAAATCTACGAAGGCAGTTTGCAGTTTATGATAAAAATCAGAATGCAAGCGCAAACTGAAATGCGACGTTCGTACGATAAAACAGGTTTATGTCTAAATGACAATTTTGAGGATACTGAACTTTGAGATACGTTTTATAAATGCGCAGAAGGCAGTTTGCAGTTATGATTGAAATCAAAACGTAAACGTAAACTAAAATGTAATGATCGTACGAAAAAGCTGATTTACGTCTAAACGTAGATTCGGAAAGTTATGAACTTAGAAACTCGTTCGTAAAAGCACAGAAGGCAGTAGCTATTTAGGAGGT